CAATATGATTCGATCAATTAAAAGATATGGATATGTGTATTATCGACCATATTTTTTCATCACACTCTTAAGTCATTATTAGTCGAAAAATATTTTTAACTTATAAACGCGCATTGGTAGAGGATTTTGTTATCAACTAAATTGAATAAAACGTAGATCATAATTTCTTATAATTTAAGAATGATGAATCCTTTATCGATCTTTTATATCCTTCGTATGATTCTTGACATACCCGAACCATCCTACATTTTATACACTCGGCTTAGAAACTTTCAACATCACAAAAGTAAGTGTGTCCTCATATAAGACATTATGATGACGTCAAATCGAAAAACCGATTCAACTAGCCAACGTTAGAGATTAACCATTGACGTTCAAATAGTTATTCATGTGAAATTTCTTTAGCGGGTCTCCAATATTTTGTTTTTATAACAAAACATCCATGTATCTATGATATCAGTTACTCCATAAGTAAGAAAGACCACACGTGTTGGTCTATCCGTAATAACGATTTCCGTATCTCATTATTCTTTACGACCATGAATAATTCAAAATCCAGTCATACGTAATTTCTTTCTCACAATCACAACACCTTGTGATTAATAAGTTATCAAACCTTGAATTTACGATCTCTATTAATTTAATGCGTTGGAGTAATAATTTAATTAAATAATAGATCTACCATAAATAATAATGCATTATTAATTATACTAAAACTGTTTACGTCAAAATTTGATTGGACTTTGAGCATAACATTTACACGAACTACATTTTTATCATCTATTGAGCAGTCTATTATTCTTAAACTTAAATAGTAGCCGTCATATCTATGCTATACGTATTTGGATGAGTCTGGTAGACTTCGAGTTATATATCAAGTTCTTTAACTGAAGTGGAGGAGTAAAGTTCTTTGGGCTAATAAGACTACAGCAGGTTAGTCCATTGGTGACATCAAAGATGTGAGTCAATCTTTATGAAAAGGCACAAACCGCACAATATTAAAACAATATACAAAAGAATCGCTCACAACAGAAAGTAAACGTTGCAGAAATTAAAATGAACACAAGATATGTTTTGGCCTAAGCCC